TGGTGAGGTCCTACCTAGCTGGGTGGGGACTTGGTCACTGGAGGTGGGTGGGGGTTGGCAAGAACAGGAAAGTGCTGGGTGGGGGCACATCTAATCCATGTTCCCCTTTAGGGCTAACCTAGCACCAGGTCCTGAAGGTCCCAAGCCAATAGCCCTAGCCACGCTTACCCATGAAGCCTAAAGGGGTACAGTAGGGGCATCTGTTCTAGGCCTGCCCCACTACTAGTCCAGAACAGAGAGCACTGAGGCCCTAGATTCAAGAGGAGGTGCTTTGGAAGTTGTTGCAGACAGAAGTCCCCCCAGGTCACTTGTCAGACACACAGCACCTACGGGGAAAGGCCTAGGCCCAGGCCTGCTTAAAGCCAGTGCTGCCTCTCACTCCACCCCTGCCTCACTCACAGCATCTAGAGTACCACAGGGGGTGGTCAGAGCTCAGCCCTGGCTCACAAGGCCAAAACCTTGGTATTAAGAAGAGGCCTCTGTCGTCCCCTTGCCCACCCAGATTGTACCATGACCCTAGCAGGAGGGAAAGGGCTAAGATGGTGCTGAGGGAGAGAATGAAGACTCTCACTTCTCACTTCTTTAGCCCCATCTCCCCTCAGAAGGGCCTCCTTTTCCTTGAAGGACTCAGAGAATCCCCTGCCCGGGGCTCCAAAAGGGCCTCCCAACCCCACTCCACTGCTGGGTTCACAAGCAAAGAAGCTGTGCCTGAGACCCAGCCTCACCAGCCCTGCCCTAAGCATCTTCCAGACCCATCCTCATGACCACCTCCAAGACCACCCTGGGGAGATGACCCCCTCTATCAGTCCTAGGGCCACTGGGAAAGACACAGGGAGCTGGGCCCAGGTCCCCTGCTCAGATACTTGCAGACTCTGTGCCCTAAATAACTCCTGTAGCCTCTCCAGGCCTGCACCAGGCCCTGTACCAATTACTCTACATGCACCATCTCATTCCAAGCTCACATCAACTCTCATCAACCCTTGAGCAGGGAAACCTGATTTCAAGAGTCCAAGACCTAGTCCAAGGTCATGGAGCTGGCAAATGCAGGCCAAAGATTAGAGCTACACCTGCAGAACTCTGTGCTTGGGCTCATAATTGCAATGTCTGTAAAATGAGGAGATCCTTAGCTGTATTCTAACCTCCAGGAGCCACTCTCCTTGCCATACTCTACCTATCCAGATGGCCAGTGGTACAGGCTGCAATTAAGTAAAGTTCTCAGTGATGACAGATTCAAGAGCTTCTAGGTACGGGGCAGGGTCCTGGGCCCAGAACTATATGACCTAAGCCAGAACTACATGGCTAGATCAGCCACCTCCAGGACTCCCTGGGCTCCACATGTATCAGTGAGGTCTTAACCAGGCCTATAGGGAGCCTATGGTATGATGTGGCTAGATGGCTGGTTGCCCTCTGCCCAGGAAACAGGGTGGGTCAGAGCTGGAGCAGGGCTGCCCCCTCTCAACATGGGTCTAGTGACTCACCTGGAGCCCATCAGGTGCAGTGGGCGTCGGCCTTGCCCACCAGCAAGCCCCGGGATGCTCCCACTCCAGACTAGGCAGGCAGGGGACCCGAGAGAATGTAGCCCCACCCCAAGCTTTCGTGAGGACACAGCCTCAGGCAGAAAGAAACTCAGACCCATTCCAGTCAGAAGAGTTTCTCATGGAAGGAGCAGCCAAGCTGAGTGAGGGTCCCCCTTGGGCCCAAACTCATAGGCCCAGCCAGAAACCCAGAGCCAGAAGCCCCTCCTTCCCTGCTTCCGGGTACAGCAGGCTCTACCCACACTGACTCCACCCCTTGACCCCTTGCTCCCTGGGACACTCCGAGTTTACCAAGGCTAAGCCTGTTTCCCCATCTGTAAAGCAGAGAGAACCAGGAGTCCAATCTTATAGAGGACTAAGAAGATGAAATTCTGAGCATAAGAAGCTTAACAGGGGCCCTGGTCATATCCTGTACCCACAGGTCTTTGCTGTTGGGCCCTCCGGGTCACCCACGCGGCAGTGAGGGGTCACTGACCTTCAGGGCACACTTCTGCCCGGTGCGCCGGTGGAAGCACTCCAGCACCTTGCCGTTCACACCCAAGCCCAGCACCCGCTTGGACAACTGGTAGTCATCGGTCACTGCGTACTTCTTGGGCTCCCGCCGCCCCACAAGGGCGGGAGTGCCCGCTGAGCAAGGTCCGCAGGGTGCACCTGGTGGGGACGCAGGGCCCCCCTGCTCCTCTGCTGTCTCGACATCCATGGCCCCTGCGGGGCGCTCAGAGGCGGCCCCAGCCTGGCGCGTCCAGGGCCACCTGGGAAAGAGAGGTAGAGTGAGTTCCGTTCGGACTTCTTCAGTACACCCCAGCCTTGGAGGCCCTGAGCCAGAGTGGGCTTCGGGTGGGGGACAGGGCTGGGAATGAGGAACGAACTGCCGCAGTGTACGGACCCGCGGCAGGGGGGAGGTGGTCACGCAGCCGGGCACAGGCGAGTCCCGCCCGGCCACCTGTCAAGAGGGGAAAGGGCCGCGAGGTCCCGGGAGTGGGAGGTGGAGGGGGCCCAGGGAGGGCGTAGCTGGCGAGGGCGTACCTGACGGCAGCACACCTGGCTGCAGCGCCGGTAAGGGGCAGGGGCGGCGGTCGCCGAAGCCCGCGGCCGCGAGCGCCCAGAGCTGAGAGTCACCCGCCGCCTGCCCCCGTGACTGCTCCCCTCCCCCGCGCGTCCCCGGCTTGAGGCCGGGCTTGGTCAGCCTTAAAGGGCCAGGCGGGCCCTGGTAGGACGGGGCGGGGCGGGGCGGGGCCCACCTAGAGCTGAAGCAGAAATAGGGGGCGTGGCTTCTCCAGGGTGCAGAAATCTCCTAGGCTCCGCCAGCCTCCGGGGAGACCCCAGCGCTAGCGCAGCCGGGTTCCGCGTGGGCTGTGAGAGCCGCGAATTTTACCAGCCGCCAAGAAAGTGGCAGCACAGGAAGTCTTGTTTTTCTTGGAGTCTCAGGTAGCCCCTTGAGTCGGGTGTTTTCTCTGCACGCTGCCAGGAGGCCCTCCAGTATAATCTGTAAGGCTTGCAACTTCCTTAGTGGTGGCCCACCGCCAGCGTATCTAAAGTCTTAATTTTTGCCAACAGCGCAAGAGTGAAATAGAATTTTGTTGTGATTCGTGTCTCTCTAGCTCCTGGTGGCTTTGCGCGTCTCTCTAGCACCGGCATCTCTACCCTTCTGTGCATCTCCTGCTCATATTCCCTTGGAATACAGCGTCCTAAGACCAGAGATCCTGAATTCCCCTTTGGTCAGATCCATCAACTTTTCACCTTATGGTTAGAGCTTTTGGTGTCATGTTTAAAAAGTCTCCTCCTCCTACCAGAGTGACAGATATTCTTTATTAGCTAAGTGGTTTTCCCTTCCACATTTAGGTCTCTACTCTAAGCCCATCTTAGATTACCTTATATATTTCGAACGGGTTTTCCCATCACAGACTGTTATCTCTTATTTCACAGATGAGGAAGCTGAGAACCCCCTAGAGGAAACAACTTGTCTAGAGCTGCAGAGTGTGTGGCTGTCTCCCTGGACAAATCTGCACTACTCCTGCACTTCCCTCTCGCCCCACAGCCCCGAAAGAGGTGGCTCACTTGGGACAGGGAACACGCGATTTGGGGCAGGATCCCTGTGCGAGCCTCTGCTGCTATCTACAGGCCACTAGCAGGACTGCAGGAACCGTGGCCTCTGTCCCACCCGTAGGTAACTCCTCTGTATACCTAAGTATCTAAAGGTGTCTTCTGGCTTCGGAGTTGGGGCCCAGCGAGCTCCCTGCCCCTAAGCCCCAACACACACATGCATGTGGGTGCACGTGGATGACTGGGCAGAAGCTCCAGGAGAACAGGCACCCTCTGTGTGCAGGCATTGAGCTGGATGAGGGTGTGAGGGGCTCTTCCCTCTCTCCTTGAAGCGACCTTCAAGCTAGGAAGGTTCAGTAAAGCAGAAGCCCAGATGACAGCCTCAACTAAGCGTACTGAGCTCTTCTTTTGGACCAGACACTGGGTAGATGCTCTATCTGGGCACCCCATGATCGCACTGGGACTGGAGGAGGGAAGGCAGTACCAATCCTGTGCAGAGACCAGACACACAAGTGACAAGCCCTGAGAGGTCAAGCGACCTGCCTGAGGTCAGTAGCTACCATGGCACAGCCCCTATCCCAACCCCCAAAAAACAACTCCAGGGCCCAGCTCTCACCATCAAACTATGCCTTCCTCTCCTGTGCCTCCCTGCCCCACTCCCACATCCACATGTACACATTCTCAGACATGTTCACACACATGCAATCACACTTTTACACATGTGCACATATGCACAGAGATACACAGGCATACACATGCACACAACACACACACATTTATGCCTAGCTGGAGCCAGGACCCCTGTCCTTGAGCCCCACCTGAGAATCTGATCCAAGATCTCAGAGCCTTGCAGGAAGCCCTCTGATCCAGAAGCTACCACTGCTTGAAGGCTTGGAGACTAGAGAAGGATTCTCCTTCTCCTATGGAGACAACTGATTTGAGCCAGGTGAACCCAAAGCTGAGCAAGATCTCATTCTGGACAAGCAAGGCCCCACTCATAAGCAGGGGTCTAGAGAGCTTGAGGGTGGAGGCTGGCCACCTGTCGTAGCCAAGGTCATCTCTGTGTGCTGTGGTCTCTGAGCTATCTTATTTTCTAAAAATGGAGTTAGATTACAATTGTTCTAACATTTTTGTATTTGTATTTTTTTGACCACAAAAAAATCTATATTTTTATATTGGAGGGAGGGAGTAGAAAAGAAAGTAGCCCCTATACTGGGCCCTATTCAGTGGCAGATTTTTGTTCCATAGGGTTAAGGAAGACTTTGAGGAAAGAAAAGTTGTTTGGACAAATCCAGGTGTAGTTGCTTTGTATACTGTGATGGGTAGAAGGGACGAAGTGAAGGGTGAAGGCCCCTCACATGCTCCATATTGCCTCAGACTATGCCCTGGAAACCTGAGGTGGAGAAAGCGCCATTTTCTTTCCTACTTCTTGGGACTGTTCATGGCCATGTAGTGATAGAGAACGACAAGCAGGTTGGCGAAGATGGCGAGCTGCACATCCATGATCATGGCTGATCAGCTGGGCTTGGCTCCGACGTGGCCTGCGCACTCTGTATCTGTATTTTTTGAACTGGTCTCTCTTTATTAAAAATTTTAATTGCATAAGCAAAACTTGCTTGTTATAATAAATTCGAACCATATAGAAATGTAAAAAGTAAGGAATGACAATGTCTCTCCTCTTGCAGTGTCCATACCAAGGCCAGTGCTTACACAAACACACACGTTCCTCACATGGGTTCATCATACACACGTGTTCTGCAGCTGACCCAGGGGAGTCAGAATGCATGGTTTCCCCTCGCTGCTCATGTTCCTGGGTTTCCTGAAGTCATTTCTCATCTTAACCAGCAAGCATCTGCCACTGCAAATTGATGGGAGGATTCAGTATTGGGGATGGCTGGGCCAGGGCAAGTGGGTACATGGTGGCAAACTCTGCCACACAGCTCTCCATGAGAGCTGTATGTCCAAGGGGATGAGGGCTGAGAACTTTGGAACAGCTTACAGTGACCAAGGAATCCAGTGAGTGCCTGGGTGGGGTGGTGGGGCAGCTGAAACCCCTCTCTCAACACACACACACACACACATACACACACGTGTAGACGTGTAGACTATTCTTTGGGGAGAGGAGAGATTGCACATGTGAGTTTACAGACTAAATGAGCCAGACCTTGAGGAAGGCACTGCTGTATATTCTTATGACCCATTTTGTGTCTGTTCTGGGTGGTGAAGGGCAGAGAGATCCTGCAGCAAGAATCTCGGGTGCACGGGAGGGGTTTTTCTGGAAGGAAGAATCCATGGAGATGTGGCACATGAAACTATGAGAGGAATTGCCACTGGGTGGCAGTGTGGGCCCAGCAATCAGGGCAGGAGAGGTGACAATTAGATGGCCAGAGGGACCCACAACACCTGGGGCAGGCAGGCACCTCAGGTAAGACAAAGGCACACCACTCTTCCCAGTATTCAGGGGAGGTGCATAGTGCTGTCAAATTTACAAAGGGCAGTTGGAGGGCAAAACCCTTGGGTCCTTTAGTTTACACACAGAACTGCACAATCACTGACTTCTGTAGGGGGTGCTTTCAAGGGGACACCTGTGGTGCCCTGATGTTGACTGTCCTGGAGGCAGGGAAGCTTCACTGAGGACCTGAAAGTTGGATCCTGAAGGATGTCTAGGAGTTGGCTTATAATAGGAGCCTAGAGAGAAAGTAGGGGACAGGGTTGGGCCTGTGAGATCTAGGGTATATTTTACCCTCTCTATGCCTCATTTTTATCACCTGTAAAGAGGGGACAATATGCAGTAGTTAGGCAATGGAATGGGGCTGGAAATTGCTGAGAGCATCTGGCACATAGTAAGCATTCAGTACAGTAATCACAGTTAGAGGGAAAGGGCAATCTCGGGGTAGAGAGCTTGGGATTTGTCGCCAGGGGGACCAAGGTTCAAATCCAGCTCTGTTGCCTGGCAGCTGTGAAGCCCTTTTGTCTTCATAGTAATGTGGAGCAGTAGACAGTTCCTACTGGAGAAACGGCACCTTATACAGGGGCTCCATGCTGGGCTTTCCAGGTGTCCCAGCCATCAAAGTGGTAATGAGGTCTCCACACCCATCTCCACCCCATGCAAGCAGCTTCTGGCCTACTCAGGAGGACTGGTGGGGCGACACTGAAGCTCAACTTCCCTTCAGGAAATTTACAGAGAAGTGGGTTTCCTGAAGTCATTTCTCATCTTAACCAGTTTATTTTGTCATTTTGCCCTGTTTCACGGGGTTTTGCTTTTGGACCACTTCTGTCTTCCATCCCCTCCCAGGCAGGGCAAGCTCAGCCCTGTCTGCCCTAGGGAAAACCTGGATACTGCCATTTAGGCTTCTGGACCCTGCCAGGAGTCTGTCATCCCTGCTAGGGGACCTGAAGCTTACCTTCTTTCTGGGGAACCTGGGGGTACACACCGGGAAGTTGGAAGCGGGGAGTGGACCCTGCCACTTCTCCAATTCTCTCCCTCTCCTTCTGGTCCAAGGACTTAGAGGAGGTGTGCGCAGCCCCTATGGTCTTTCAAGATGTGCCCTGGTAAGTCCAGTGAACTGGGAAAAGGTGGAGAGGATCAAGGGTAGGAGCATGGGCTTCTGACTTTTGTTCCCTGGGGCTCAGCATAATGGGGGTAATACCAGCTGTTGAGGATCAAATGTATCAAGTGCTCCATGTAGATGGGAGGGGGTGTCACTGATCCTTCTCTCTACCTTTACCCCCCACCTTCAGTTTATCTCTGGGTGTTTGGAGCTCCAGGTCTCTCTCCCCCAGGTGGGTTTTTAGGGAACCCACCAACCCAGAGACACATGTGAACTGTCCTGTGGGGTGAGCTTGGGGCCTGCCTGCCCCTCAAGTCGGTAGTCATTTCTTCCCTGATTGGAGGGCCGGCCAGAGGACAGGCTGGGGCCGAGACTGGATGGCCCTGCCTGGTGCAAAGGTTGGGATGGTGCCTTGTCCCCCAACTCTCAGAGAAAACGTTCTCGCCTGGATCCTCTTGGCTGTGGTGGCCGCATACTTGACCCCCGTGAAGCTGCTCGTATCTGAGTGCTCCCTCTGTACCCCTTCCCTCCGCTTATGTCCCGCTCCAAACCACACCCTTTGCCACCCACCTCCCCAGAAACAGAGTCCAGGGGTCCAAGTGCAGCCCACAGGGGGCTCCCGCACACCAGACAGACCGCCTTGGAGGAGCCGCTAGCTGGGCGGACAGGCCGGTGACCGCGCCCTCGTGCTGCCACCGGTTCTACAGAGAGATAAGGGGGCCTGTCTCCAACGAAGCGGAGTGCCCGAAAGAAATCTGGGCTCCGGTAGGTAGAGCACCTGCCCCTCCCTAGCCCTCTTCAACCTGGACTTTCCCTAATGTTCTCTAGGTCACTCTCAACCCGGCTTCGTCACGTCAGCCTCGGGTCCAAGCGCTGTAATTGGCCCTGCGTGACCACTCGGCTCCACCTCCTGCTCTGCGATTGGTCGGCGCGCGGAGCCCCGCCCCATTTTCCTGGAAAGTTCTTGGAAATCTGTCAAAGGTGTTTCCTTTAGCGGCCCTCAGCCGCAGACCATGGAACCGACTCCCTCGCCTGCACCCCTCCCCGCCCGGCCGCACTGCCGGCGGTTCTAGGAAGACGTCGCTTCCGGGAAGGGCTGGGACACAGAGGACAAAAGATTAGGCTGCTCGCCCCGCCCTCCAGGCCCGCCCCACGCGCCCTCCCGGCCCGCCCGCGCAGCCACCTCTCAGTCCCGGCCCGCCGCTCC